GTAACCGTCTAGCTTGAACTGCACCACTTAGATAATGTTCTGAACAAAGTTTATTGTTCATGACGAAAATATATTTACACAATTGCAAAATGAGATAAATCTAAGCAATTTTTGCTATGCAAAAGAAAATAAACAACAATGCTAACACAACCAATAAGCATTATTTGATTCAGCAGACTGAAATTACCAGTGAGGATTATAAGCGAAAGGAATGTAAGTTTTTGAAGTACTACTTGCTGCAGCATTCGCAACAGCTGCAGCTGCAAATGCGCTTGCTTGTGCAAATTTTACTTTCTCAACTTCTGCTTCTTGAAGCCGCTTTGATTTCGCGCGTCTATTCTAAAAATAAAATCGTAAATATTTTTGCATGAGTATAGCTTTACTTGAGGCTTTAACATTATTTAATATGCAAAAAAAATGCACAATTTGTATGGTTTAGTAAAGAATATTTTCTTATATTCACATCATTATTATAAAATGTATTGGGTAAGTAACCCAGAAAATACAAAATTTATTATCATTTTGAATTGATTATTCACTCTGCTAGAAATTGTTGATGAATAAAGTCAACTGAAAGTTAGCAATATTTGCAAAACTTTTCAGCACAATTCTTCATATTGTGATGTTTTGATTTGTCACGATAGGTTGCGCAGCAGCAAATTGTGTTTTGTTTTTAAATTTATGATTGGCAGTGACTCAAATGCAGACATTAATGAGTTTAGGAACGTCCCGTCGTGATCAAATTTGGCATTTAGTTGCAATGCACTGCCTCACACGCTTTAATTAAATGTTTCTATGTGATGAAAATGATATAAAATGAAATGTGTAGTTTTGTTTCAACACTGTGTACCACTGATGAACTCTTCGTGTTTGTGGTTTGACAGATGCAAGAAGTATCGATGGCATATGGAAGAAAATTCTTTCTCGTGTTACTCAGCAGGGTTCTTAGCGCGATGGTTTGAGGGCAAAGGTCGTTCTCACCACGACTCATATTTCAAAGAATGGATGCACACAATCAGATGTTGATATGCAAAAATGTATACTTTTTTTAATTCAAGAATTTATAATATTTTTTGAGATCTGACTTGCAAAATTTTCATTAATTAATGCTAAATTTTAACTAATTAATGCCAAAATTTTTACTAACTACACATATTTTTAGCGGTAAAATCAAAAATGAATTAATGTACGTAATGACAGTGCAGTTATCATCTCACTATAGAAATTACCTGCAAATTTTTTAGCAAATAATTTGAAACATTTATTTTAAAAATTGGGAAAATTTAGAAATAATTGATAAATGAAAAAGCACGGAAGACAAAAAAAACACTGATAAGGTCAAAAGGCAGCTAAATGCAATGATCAAAATATTGTTGGACAAATAGATGATGTAAAAGGTTTTGTTGTAGTGAACTATACTTAAAAACCATTTAATTTTAGATACTTCAAATTTTGATTCATATAGAAACAATCAGTTTCAGAGGCAAGATAGTGACTAGAATGATAATAAGTTAATATGGCTGCTAGGCGATAAATAGGAATGAATGAAAGCACAAAAAAGCAGAAATGGAAGAGCTATGGGTCGTAAATCAATGGAAAACTACTGAGCTATCTTCAGCAAATGCTTTTTAAACCAATCAGTCATATATATATATATATATTTTCTACAATGACTCCCATTTCAACTTCATTATCACCAACATTATTACTGTTACTGTTGACTGCTATTATTATCGTTCGCGATAACGAAAAACTGTAATTTGGCTAATTAATTAGTTATTTATTAACTATTTTACGACCAAAGTTGTAGCGATTTTTTCCTCTTTCTCACAGACTTACACTTAAAAAAAAATGATTTAACTATATTCTTTTTGCCAAAAATGTTGATGAAAGAAGAAAACAAAGAAATTGAAATACAATAATTGACTATTGCTTTCAGAAAAGTTTGACCATAATACTTGCAGTGTCGCAAGTTATGTTTCTTACCGCTGTCAAACATGACATACATTAACATGACCTTACAAAGTATAACCGTTGCAGTTTTTATTCCATGCTAATTTTCATTTTCATTTGGCAATGAAATAAGTGAAATGGTAATTAACAACGATTAAATGAGCAATCCTGATCGAAAACCATTACTAACACCTTCACATTAACTGACAGAAGTGCATATCATTAGACTATAATCAAGTCAATATAAACGTATAAAAATATTCATCACATTAAAAACTTATGATTCCAATCAAAAAAATTAAATTTTTCAGAAGATCAATATTATTGTCAAGAAACACACTCATTTTCATTCCTGAATACTATTATCTTAAAGTTTTTATACGGACTGAGTATTAAATTCATTTGCATGATCACATACTACCGTAACATTATGACAAACGTTTCAAAGATTTCCTTTGTCTGTCTATCTGTCTCTATTGTGGTGTGTTTGTTTGTCAGTGAAGATATATTGCTGTCTGCTGTGTATTTCTTTTCTATCTTGTCTGCATAAGAGTACATGTATGTTTGCAACACAACTGTCATACTGTATATCGAATTATTTGTTTTCATGTAATACAATTTACAAAACATTGAAAAGCTTTAGCAAATTTTGCAATGCGCGGTTACTGTATGGATTTAATACATATTTGCTTCAATTGCAAAAGTATCTGAAAATATGAAAACTTAATTTAATTACAATTAATTTTTTAATTATTTAGCTCTTTTATCAACAAAATAAATGAAATAGAAGGAAATAACAGGTGGAAAAGACTCTGAAAAGAAATGAGACTAAAATGAAAGCCATCAATATGCTAATATGTGGTATTGTGAAGATAAAATAATTTTGATTTGAAAATTTTTTGCACCAAAATGTCTTTGAAAAATAACTGCAAAGTAATTATAAGACTTTCGAAGGATTAACTGAATTGTTTAGTTATTTAAGGTACATTGGAAATTTTCGCTTGCAAGCAAATTTTTAAAAAAGTTTTCAAATTATTTGTCTTGTATATTTACTAAAATTCAAATACTTAATGCAGTAAAATCTTTCGAATTTCTGGTGCAAAAATTTAACATATACTTTAGAAAGATAGCAAATAAAAAAGGGATTATGAGTTTTTTATGAGTTTTTTTCTTAGTATTTGACCTCAACTAGTTTTATTTCTTCAGGAAACAATTAACAATAGATCACAATTTGAATGATATTAACATTTATTAAGAGATTAACATAATGCAATGTATTGTATTTAGATGCTTGTTAAGAATTTGAAACAAATAGATCAAAGAAAGTACTATTGCCTAATAATGAATTATATGCATAAGCCTGCAAATCTCTTTCTGCTCTCCATATCTAATGAATTAATAAGGAGCAATAAGCACAATTATCCAATTATTTTTTACTCAACTTGCTCCCTTCTATTTTTATAAGTTTTTCTCAGTCTCATTTTCTTAATATAATTTCATTATCACAATTTTCATAACAAGTTGCTATCAATCATTAATTATTCATCACTATTATTGTTTTAAATGCATTTTTTTTTTTGAAGTAATTGAGAGTTATTCATCACTCTTTATAACAATTGCCAATAAATTACCTTCTATTTAGTTCTTATAATGATATTCCCATCAGAACTGCGCATCCTTTGCTTAGCTTATTCTAATCTAGATTATAAATAGTCGAAAAAAAAAGAATTAAATGCTTATATTATGACAAGATACTTTTGAATTTATGATCAAATATTTTCATGCCGACATCATCATGACCCAATCACCTCTTTACTGATTGATATCTTTGAGAAGAAAAGATGAGTAGAAGTAGAAAGAATAAGAGTAAATAATGTGTCAAAATTTATAAGATTTATTACTGCTGATAACATAATTATAGATTTTGAAAAGTAAACTGAGTAGTCTGACAAAAATCAGCGATTGAGATCAATTTATAACGATGGATATTTTCCATGCATGTTATCAACTGTGAAAATAAAACACAAATTTATGAAGTGTCTCTTACTGTATACTTATGGAAAATAGAAAACTAATAGATCATTGCGCACTGAAAAATATGGAGTTTGATAAAAATAGCAAAGAAATATTTAATTAATGACTACATTTATTATTAAATGCCCTCTTACCTAAATATGATCAATTATATTTTGTTTTACAATATGATATCTTAACAAATACTTTACAAATTTATTTCGAGAAATAACACTTTCTAACTTTTAAGTATTCCTTAAACTTCTGCTTCGTTTTTAAGGATTTACTGAATTACAATTACAATTTTGTAAAGTTTTATAAATTTCATATCTAATGCAGTGTCCACATTAAAGTCGACTTTTCAACAAGCAAAGAAAAATACTAAGCAGATTGATTATGCAAATCGTATCTTAGACTTAATGATATGAAAAAAATGTTAACGTCATTTATGAATGTGCCCAGACATTAGCAGTATTACCTGACCATCAAAATTCCCATATTACTTTTATGTTGTTAATGGGAGTAACAGCGGGAGATAACGTCTAATGACAAACCTGAAACCATATTTTCACTTGTGTTTCAGTAAGCTGTAAAGATGCACTAAATTCTGCTCGTTCAGCAATTGATAAATACTGCTTTTGTTGAAATTTCCGTTCCAAAGACAAAAGCTGCTGAGTGCTGAATGGTGTCCTTGGCTTACGGTTATTTTTATGCTTTCGAAGTAAGCATTTGGTTATTCCCATTGTCGTTAAACTTTTCTGTTCAGCTGAAGTCATGTTAAATTGACTAATTTAAAATTTTTAATGAAATATTTGGAAGTAATACAAGTTTTCATCACTGAAAGTTAGTCTACTTACTAGGAGAGGAGGATTGATCTGATGAAGTTGAAGTTGTAGGCCATGGATAATGTAATAGTAAGGAATCATTTGTTGATACAGAACAATTATCAGCACTTATATTGTTGGGTAAAGAATGAATATAGGCAGGCAATAGGAACATTCCTGTAGGACTAGTTGGTATTGAGTAGGTGGGATGTGATACTTGGGATTCTGGGATCCGTGAAACAGATGGGATAGTAACAACTGTAGTTGTAACAAATGGATTCACCGGTGATGGCTTTGGAACATCAGACGAGGAGTCACTAAAAAAATTCTTTTATAAAGTAAAATAAAACTAGTGACAAACAAGTATGAACAAGTAATAAAAGCAAAATTGCTGCATTCTGCAAGAATATTTTTTTAATTTTTGAAAATAAAAAATCTATAAGTGACTAATTAAAGAAGTACCTCTGAGATGATGAGCCACAAGACAATAAGTTTTCAACACTGAAGGATGCTTTCTTAGATGTTTTATCGTTTGATTTTGATAATTGTATAGTACACATTGGTTACAGTCGAGCTAGTTTAATCGCTAAAAATGATTTTAAAAAAATAAAGTAATTTTCTAGATTATGAGAAAAAGAACAAAAATGTCAAAAATACCGTGATATCAAAAATAACATTGTGTCGTGCAATGATATCAAAAAAAGTATTAGTAATAGCGTTTTGAAATCTCATAGGTTTTCGTAAGTAATTAATTACCTAAGATTAAACAAAAGAATTCTGGAATGGAAAAAAAACTACTATAAATAATAGATGAATTTTTATAATGTAAAAAAATATTGCTCTTTAAACAAATTAAATCTTAATTATTAAGTAAAACAATGCATTTAAGAAATGGATGAAGCGCAAAATTGTATATTTTTTCTCTATCAAAATTTTAAAATGTTATAAGTGAATCAAACAAGCAACATTATCAATAATCTTGAATATATATATATAT